ATTCTTTTGCGTGTAGACAGGTGGTCCTTGCACCATTTGTTGAAAAGACTGTTCTTTCCCTATTGAAAGGTCTTGGTACACTTGTCAAAAATCAGTTGACCGTGGGTTCGTTTCTGGACTCTGAATTCTGCTCCACTGATCTATACATCTATCCTATACCAGTACTGAACTATCTTGTTACTGTAGCTTTGTGGTATGTTTTGGAATTGGGAAGTATACCCTCTACTCTGTTCTCTTCCAGGATTTTGAGTTTGTGAAGGGCTGATAAGAATTCTTTCAACTTTTGGTAGAATCAACCAGTAAGGCCATCTCATCCTCGGCTTTAACTCATGGGAATTGTTTTTGTTTTGTTTTTTAAGTATTCTTTATTTTTTTTAAAGATTTATTTATTTATTTATTTATTTATTTGACAGAGAGAGAGACAGCGAGAGAGGGAACACAAGCAGGGGGAGTGGGAGAGGGAGAAGCAGGCTTCCCGCGGAGCAGAGAGCCTGATGCGGGGCTCGATCCCAGGACCCTGGGAGCACGATCCGAGCCGAAGGCAGCCGCTTAACGACTGAGCCACCCAGGCGCCCCCATGGGAATTGTTTTGAATGCTTATTCAATGTCTTTACTTGTTACAGGTGTTGAGACTTTCTGTTTCTTTTGTGAAGCAGTTTTGGTAGTTTGTATCATTCTAGAATTTTCTTTTTACTTTTTTGAGTGGTTGACCTAGAGTTTGCAATGTATATTTAGAACTAGTGCAAAAATAGCACTATACTGCTTTACGGGTCGCACGAGTACCTTATAATAACAGAGTACTCCAGATTCCCCCCTCCCATCCCTTGTGTACATAAGCATACATAAGCATTATATTATATATGCCCATCTATAAGCATATATATGCTTATCTTTTTTATAAGCATATACATATATGCTTATCTTAATTACATATATAATTGAATACATTGTTTCTATTATTTTGAACAAACTGTTACCTGTTACATCAATTAAGAATATAAAAAATTAGAGTTTTTATTTTATCTTCACTTATTCCTTCTCTCATCCTTTCTTTCCTTATGTAGATCTGGGTCTCTGACCTATAGCATTTTCCTCCTCTCTGAAGAGCCTTTTTTGAAACATGTCCTGCAAGGCAGGTCTACTGGCAACAAATTCCCTCAGTTTTTGTATGCCTGAGAAAATCTTTATTTTTCCTTGAGTTTTGAAGGAAAATTTCACAGGGTACAGAATTCCAGGTTGGTGGGATTTTTTTAATTTTTTCAATATTTCACTGCACTCTCCTCTTCTTTGCATGGTTTCTGAGGATACGTTGGATATAATTCTTATTTTAGCTTCTCTATAGGTAAGCGGGGCTCCCCCCCAGCTTCTTTCAGGGTTTTTTCTTTATCTTTGCTTTAACTGGACTTTGAATATGACATGCCTAGGTGGATTTGTCTTTTGCATTTATCCTGCTGGTTATCTCTGAGCTTCCTGGATCTGTCATTTGGTGTTTGACATTAATTTGGAAAAATTCTCAGTCATTGTTGTTTCAAGTATTTCTTCTTTCCCTTTCTCCATTTCCTCTCCTTTTGGTATTCTCATTAAACGTGTTATCCCACAATTCGTAGGTATTCTGTTCCATTTTTTAAGTCTTTTTTTTTTTCTGTTTGCTTTTCAGTTTCAAAATCTTCTGTCAACATATCCACAAGCTCAGAGATTCTTTTTTTCGGTGGTCCAGTGTACCAATGAGCCCATCAAAGGCATTCCTCATTTCTATTATAGTGTTTTGGATCACTACCATTTCATATTCATTCTAAGTATTTCTATCTTTCTGCTTACAATACCCGTCTGTTCTTGTATGTTGTCTACTTTCATTAGAGCTCTTAGCGTATTACTCATAGTCATATTAAAGTCCTAGTCTGATAATTCCAACATTCCTGCCGTACCTGACTATGGTTCCAGTGTTTTCTCTGTCTCTTCAAACTGTGTTTTTTGCCTTTTAGTATGCCTTGTAACTTTTTTTTGGAAGCCAAACATGACATGCTGTGTAAAAGGAACTGCAGTAAGTAGGCCTTTAGTAATATGGTGGTGGGGGCAGGGGAGGGATTCTGAAGTCCAACGATTAGGGATGCAGTTAAAGCAGACAAATAACAGCTGTAAAATGTCCATATCGAAAAAGAAGAAAGAGGACTTCTGGTTTCTGGTCCAGCATTTAAGCAGCGTGGCAGTCATTACTCCATCGCAACAATAAGTAGATAGCTGAACTAACTGGAAAAAAAAAAGACCTATGGTCTTTTGATGAGTTTCTGTCTCTCGACTATGAACTTCACCAGTGCTTCTCAGGTTGTTTTCCTCCTTTAGCAGGGACAGGAAGGCTAGAGGGAGTTGAGGTAAGGTATTTCCCTTCCCCTAGCTAGGTTAGACTCTGGTAAAAACCTGATAGGTTAAGCTCTGGTAAAATAGTTTCTCTCTTGAGGGCAGACCTTGTTAGGATGGACAGAATGCTCTGGTGTATTTCAAAATGGCTACCTTTCCTTTCCTGCTTCTGAAGCAGGAGGGAGATTTTCCTCCTCTCTTCATTGTGACAGCCTGGTAGAGCTGCCGGAGGTACCACAAAAGGTGGGTGTGCTGCCCTGTGACTGAGCCCCCTGGGGGTTTGAACTCAGACTTGTCCACACTGCACCCCCAGCAATTCAGTTACAGCTCAGGTTTTCCTGCCCTGCTCCTGATTTCCGTGGAGGCCTCTGCTCGTGGGTTTCTGCTCCAGCGAGTTTTGATTTTCTGCATCTGCCTGTCTGTCTCTCCACTTTTTGGGGTAGCATTTTCCCCCATGGCCTCAATTCCCTGACAGATATAAGGAAAGTTAGGCGGGTTTTTTTTTTTTTTTTCCCAGTTAGTTCAGCTATCAGCTTATTGTTAGGATGGAGTAATGACTGCCATGCTGCTTAAATGCTGGGCCAGAAACTGGAAGTCCTCTTTCTTCTTTTTCAATATGGACATTTTACAGCTATGTATTTGGTCTGCTTTAACTGCATCCCAGGAGTTTTTTTTATTTTTTAATTTTTAAAATTTTTTTAAAGATTTTATTTATTTGTCAGAAAGAGAAAGAGCGCATAAGCAGGGGGAGTGGCAGGCAAAGGGAGAAGCAGGCTCCCCACTGAGCAAGGAGCCCGATGCGGGGCTGGATCCCAGGACCCTGGGATCATGACCTGAGCCGAAGACAGACCCTTAACTGACTGAGCCATCCAGGCACCGCCCCCCATGAGTTTTTTATGCTATGTTTTCTTTTTTGTTCATCTCCAGATAGTTGCCCATTTCCTTGGTAGTGTGCTTCAGCTTTCTATGGCGGGGGGAGGAGGGGGGAATCATTCCTATCCCATCACTGGATTAATTTCAGAGAGCGTTAGTGCCTCCAGGTCCCGGGGTTTATTGACACTTAGGCCTTTTGAGAGTAGTTTCTGAGGAATAGAGGAACTGAAAGGAGACATGAGTGGCTAGGGAGGAGGGGGTATGGCTTAAGCCCTCGCTTTTGAAGCCACGCTGTGGCCTGTGGCCTCTCAACCAGGGTTTCTCGACTGGGGCGATATTGTCCTTCAGGTGGTGTTCGGTTGCCATACGGGGTGAGGGGGGGCGTGCAGCTGACATCTAGTGGGTAGAGGCCAGGGACGCCGCTCAACGTCCTATAATGCCCAGGGCGGCCCCTCACAGCCAAGGGTTGTCTGGGCCGAAGTGTCAGTAGCGCCGCCCTGGAGAAACCTTTTTTAAGCCCTTCCACTGGCGGGACTGTTTCCCGCTCCCGCAGCACCTACCTGTACAGCGTCTCAGTGCCTCTTCACAATGGTCCCTGAGGTAGGTGAAATGCCCCAGTCTGAGGTGAGGCGAGTGAAGCCTTAAAACTGTAGCCACCTGTCCGTCGGTAGCAGAGCCTGGACGACCACCCCGCCAGTCTGGTGGTTTTCCCGCAAAGCCCACAGTGACCTGGGCCTCCACTCGCTTTGTCCACTCCACCTTTCAGAAGCGGATCGCTATGCATTGTCTTGTGAGTCTGTGTCTGGAACCCTGGTTGCCTGCAGGGCTCCTTGCAGCCAAGAATGCTTCACATTGTCCTGTGATCCTCTGTTTACCGGTGTCCCCCTGCAAACAGAGCGGAAAGGCCCTGCAGGCAGCATGGCGCTGGGCGCAGGGTGGGCCTTCAGTACATTTCTGTTGAAGGAATGAGGAGCTAGGAGAGACGATATACCGAAATGTTAGCTTGGCGAGCTCTAGGAACTTGAAATGTAGGTTGTAGCTATTTGCAGAAGAGGCTGGGGAATGGGGCAGGCCCCTAGGACAGGTGGGGCAAGAGACCTTGCGTTCTGTACGTTGGTTGTTTTGCCTAGAGGATTTTAATTTGGTTATTCTTCATAATGCTTTATTCCCCTTGTTAATTTCCTCCCACTTCAGCTTCCTCTTCTCTTTGAACTGTTCATGCTAGCACTTTTTGCCTTTCTTAAAAGACCGGTTCTAACTCTACTTAACAATTCCCTGTGGCCTCAGGTATTGTCCCCTAAAGGTCTTATTGAAACAAAACTTAAAGAAGAATCCTTTGTGGTATTTGACCTCAGTTATCGTGAAATTATCCTGACATCAATTCTGTATGTCTTAAGGTAGCTGGTCTCAATGTTCTCATCCATAAAATGGGCATATGACCCTTTGTTAGCTAACTGAGACCTTTCCCAAGGATAAATGATTTAAAGCCCATGAAAGCATTCTGAACAGCGCTGTGTAAATAAATGGCCAGGTCCTTCCGGTTATGAGTAACTGTGAAAAACTGTATTCATGTGAATTATGCAATATAACCAGTGGTCGTGCAATTATTAAAGTAGTTTGCTAGAATGAAACAAAGGGCATTCAGATTTTGTGCTTCTTACTTTTACTACAGTGCTAGCCTAGTAATTTGGTTAAAAGATCTAAAGCTCTATCTTACCTTGGACTGTCCTGACAAATACAAGATCTTGACCTTGACCTTTGTTTCTCTATAGGTGTTACAGAACATTTTGGACACTGAAAAGGATTATGCTAAAGAACTTCAGTCTCTACTTGTCACTTACTTAAGACCCCTGCAGTCCAATAACAAGTAAGATTTACATTTTAAACACCTTGCTAAATAAAGCGAGATAATGTCAGCATCCAGAGTCATTGCTCTTATGTCACTGAATAATTGATTTTGCCCTTTAGAAGAATTTCCACAGATCACAGGTTGCCAAGAACATGGTCGAGGCAGCGGAAATTACACAAGATGTTGCTGCTGGAGAGCTTGGCTTTCTGTCTCTTTTGGCTGTGGAAGGAATGAGCACATCTGCATTTCTGTCTGCCACAATTGTTATCTTGTACATTTTAAAAGCGATACATGCAGTTTTACCTTGCACAAACAGGACCTGCTGGTGTTTTTATGCAGAAAACATGTAAACTGGAAAGTTTCATGCTCCCCCTGACCTTTGCTTGCTGGGGCAGAAACTCTTTCCTACGGTCTGAGAGTGGAAAGAGTGTGGCATTTTGTGAATGTTTGTAAGGGCACCTCGAGCTCGTATTTCACCCAGGCCAAAGAGAATGATAGAGCTGTTCAAATGTTTTGTTTTGTTTTGTTTTAAATAAAATACTCAAACCTTATTCTGGTCTTAGAAGTGACTGAGGTTTGAATTGAAAACTTTGTTTTCACAGAAGAAAAATATTGACCTTTTTTTATGTGTGTGCTTGTCGCATGGCCTATTTAGCACATAGTGGCTAATGGCGTTTGTTTGCATTTTTATTTTAATTGATTACACTTTACTGGAGATTATAATCTATAAGTCAAATAGAAAATTGAGCTGTGGGCCCACATACTGGAGGACAAAAGCCTCCTCTTTCCCCTCATTTAGAGTTTACTTTTGCTGGACAGCTGTCTCAACTACTGGACTTCAGGCTTAAATAAGTTTAACATATTTCATGATCCCCCCCCCTTTTTTTTCCAAATCATGTTTGCTAAGGCATAAGGTCTTGCTAAATTTCCCAGTTGGTTATTTTCCATGCACTGTGGGAATCTCACTTCAGTATGAAAGGATTTTGTATTCCCATGTTTTGTAAGAGTTGAAATGCAATCAACAACAAAGTGTCTTTTGTTATTATTATGTAAAACATGAAGTGAATCCTGTGAGTCATACTTCTTAGAGCTGAATGGAAGGAACCTCAGTGAATCACTGGGTCTAGTGCCCTGGAAGAAATGACTGTCCCCATTGAACAAATAAGAAAACTGAAGTCCAGAGAGGCTTACTGCTATACCCATCACACAGCCAGTAAGCCGCCAGACTCGACCCACCACGCCTCCTGCCACTGACTGAAATGTGCCTTCCATTTTGTGGAGGTGACAGGCAGAGGCAGGAAACCGAGGTGGTGACCCTGGGAGGGGAGATGGTAAGATTTCAAATGAAGGAGGCCAGGAGCCTGACTCAGAACTTCCCTGTTGCCATATAAATTCAGAATGCAGTCAGGGTCAGTTTCCACCGGCTGTCTTGTGGACCCCGGAGCGACTGGAGCAAACCAGACTGTTTACTGTCTGATCCTGAGGGGGCCAAGAAAGTCCCTGATCAGGTTCAAGTTGGCCCCCCAGGCAGCTTCTTGGGGCCATGAGGGAGGAAAGTCAGGGAAGCTGGCTGGCTGAAGGTTTCGCTTTTGACACCCATGCTAGGGGTTTTCCAGCTTGTGGTTCAGAAGGGCATGATGGCAGAGGAACTGGGCGCTTCTGATGCTCAAGGGGTTACTGGTAATGTTTGTGTGGGGCTTCCTTTGCTTTGTCAGCAAAAATCACTCTTGGAAACACTCCCCTCGTATTATGATGTGAAGAAGAAAGAACACGTGGCCGACACTGGCCTTTTAAGTCTTCAGAAAAGTCTTCTCCCAAAAAGCGTTTAAGAGCATGGCCTCTGGAGCTAGAATGTTGTGGTTTAAATCCTGGCTTCACCCTTCACTGGCTTTGTGACACTGGGTGATTTGCTTAACCTCTCTGTGCCCGGGTCTCCTTACATGTAAGATGGAGACCATAGCACCTACCTCATGAATTTGTTGTCAGGTTAAAATATAAAATATAAAAAAATAAAATAAAATATAAAATACAAAAAATAAAAATATTTGTGAGACGCCTGCAGAGGTGTGAAGTGCTTGTGTGAGTAGTGTTGGCATATGTTGTATCACCTACCGTTTGGGAGGGAAGAATGGAGAAAAATTCATAGTACGGAGGCTCTGGATAAAATTGTTCCATTTGCCTTTATTTGCTCCATTCCGTTCCACAAACAAACAAACAAACAAATCAGTACTATTTTCTTCTCCTCTACTTCCTCTGATGAAGATTTCCTTTTGTTGATTTATGAGCATTTTAAATTGAGAGAAACTGGATTTTGTGGTTTTTCCCTGTGCAGTCTATGAGCATTTATAGTATCTTTTCAGTTACTCTCCCAGCTCCTCTAGAATACTCAAACTTGTTTGCATTGATCCCCAGCCATGATGTATTTTGCCTATTGAGATACTTAGATATTACACACTTGCTATCTGTTCACTCATCGCATTGTAAAACACCTAAATGTCTTTAATAAACACATGTCTAGGATCATTATTCTTATTGTAGAAAAAGGAAATCAAGGAAAGATGCTTTTAAATGTTGTTTAAGACCACAGAGCTGATGTAAATTAAAAAGTGAAAGTTAAAATCTAGGGATTGCTTCCCTCATCCCATTTGCCAATTTTTTTAGCAAATTATCAGCTCACTAGACTAGAGATGGATAACTGGAATCATCCTGAAGTTCTATCCACTGAAACTATGTATGTTTGTTTGTTTGTTTTTTTCAGTCTGAGTACTGTGGAATTTACATCTTTACTGGGGAACTTCGAGGAAGTATGCTCCTTTCAACAGACGCTCTGCCAAGCCTTGGAAGAATGTTCCAAGTAAGTGTCGTATGTTGCCCTTAGAATAGCTAGCAACACCATTTCTTTGGTGTGTTTTCTTTTCCTGCTAGCTGTTGTCTTAGATAGGGACACTTTGTATTTACTCATTTGTTACAACGTTGATAAATTGTCCCAGTACAGACAAAATGCGCTAGGGAGAGCCAAACCCCTGGTTGTATATCAGGGCTCTCTACATGGAGTAAATTATTTCTGACTTTATTTAAAAATTGTATCGGTTTACTGCTCCTGGTCAGTATGAGAGACAGATAAGCTCTCCATTGACCAGGGACGTTGCCTTTGATAGTGATTTGATATCTTCTTTTGTACATTGCAAATTACTTGGAAAAGTTAGTCAGGTGATTCATTCAGTTGCCTAAGCTGCTTTTTCTCTTTAAATCACGCCTGGTATCTTGTTTATTATAGTAACAGTTGAAATACACAAAAAGTGGGGAAAGGAAAGTATATCTTTATGTGAACCACAATATATATTGGAAGGCTAGCTCGATGGTTGAGGTGTTCAGCTTCATACTGCAGAATGGACTGTAATGATCATCAGGCAATATAGTTCTGTAGCAAGATTAATTTTCCAAGCACTGTATCTCAGAGAAGTTGGCAACTTTCATCATCTACAGGGAAACCGGGGTGATTGCCTGTTTCTTGAGCTTTCTGGGACACAGGTGGTCATCCAGGAAGGAGGATGGTAAGAGCCCACACCAGAGGCCTGAGGGGCCGTCCTCAATGCTGATAGGGATCCAGCTTATTGGTGTGGAAAGATAAGTCAGTAAGTGAGAAGAACCGATTACAAACTAGATTTGTAATCTTTGTTTTCCATTTTATAGAGAAACATGTAGAAGGAAGACCAAGGAATATGCCAAAATTGTTCTAATAGCTGTCTCTGAATGGTGGAATGCTGAGTAATTTTTTTTTCTTTCTTTCACTTTTCTGATTGGTCTACAAATGAAAACAGGTGGCTTGTAACTTAAAAAAATTAAAGTCTTGAGGCCATCCTGCCTAGCAGCCACCAAGCCCCTAAGACTACATAATATTCCTTTCTGATGTGTCAGTTTGGGATTTGATTACTTTTGTCTGTACTTGAACTTCATATAAATTAGCCAAGAGTATTTTTGTGTGTGCCCGGCTAAAATTTTGAATATTGTAATTTGAACAAATATCTTTAAAAAACAACCCTACCTGGTCATTTCAAGTAAGTATCTGGCCCCTATATATGGGCGCTATGTTTGGCGGCTCGAATTTGAAGTGATGGTCAATTACCCCATTCAAATAATAATAATAATAATAAAGCGGCAGTCAAGAACTTGCATTCCATGGCAAAAGTGGTTATAATCTAGTTTCTCTGTTCACTTTGGCAAAAGAATTCAGAAGGTTCGTGTCGCCAGATTTGATTGGAATCCTCTTCCTTATTTTACATTCTGTGTTTCATCTTGTCTCACCTCCAGGTTTCCAGAAAATCAGCACAAAGTAGGAGGTTGCCTGCTGAACCTCATGCCTCACTTTAAATCTATGTATCTGGCTTACTGTGCAAATCATCCTTCAGCTGTCAATGTGCTCACACAGCACAGGTAAGTTGTACCATTTCCCCAGGTAAGCTGTTCCACAGTGAGATCCTTTCCTAGGACCGCTTCATTTGGAAATCCAAGGTCTCCAATTGAACTTTTGATCATCCCCCTTCATCGCTGCAGGAATTAATTTGTCGTTCCACCGATTGCTTGTCTGTCAGTGCAATAGATAATTTACGGAGCATCTCCTATGGGCAGGGTCCTGTACTAGCTGATGGGGGATACAGTAGTCAACAAGGAAGAGGAAGTCCCTCCCCTCCTGGAACACAGAATCTCAAGAGAAATACAGACATGAACTTAAACGTCATAAACGTGGTATGACAAAAGGGTAAATTAAAAAGATGCCATGAGACTTTGCAATGTGGTATCAGCTTCGTGTGGGGGGAGGGTAGCATCAGGGAAGGCTTTCCTGAAGCCAAACTCTATTTAGATCCGGTGTTTGTGCCTTCTCCTGTCCCAGCGAATGGTTTATCTGAGTTACTGGCAGATAGCTAGAGTGCCTGGCTTCATCTCTTTTTCACTTTCCCTTTGGCGAGTGGGGGAAATTTCCAACAGCGCTATGGCTCAGAGGCAGATACTCATTAACATGGAAAGGTGGAAGGAAACTAGCAGGGTGAGCTATCTGGCAAGCACTTTAAGCAACGGGCTGTGATAATATTTGTACATGAATATAAATTGTTTCCAATTCATGGGGAACAACGAAACAGTATCTCCTTTAAGAGTCCTTGCAAGGGACCCAGATAAGTTCATATCTCTCCTACCCTTCCTTACCACCTGACTCCCCATCCCTGACGCATTCACAGACGCATTCATCTGGGCCAGAACCCTGGATGATAGGCTTAAAGATGCAGTTTGAACTTTGAAATCATGTGCTAGAAATCTGGCAGGGGCGGGGGCGGGGGTGCGTGTCTCTCACCACACAGAGTCTCTTAGGACGTAACCTGGAGACCAGACTCAGAATGGATATGGATTCTGGAGGCTGCTCACGACTGGAAAGAACATTCTTTTCTTAATCTGGCTCAGACCTGAACCCCCAGGGCCAGACTGGAACACCAGTTGACACAAACCCTCAGAAGTGGTGGAAATTTTGGTTTTGTCCTGGTTTGTTAGGAGCTTTATTGACTTGGGCGCCTGGGTGGCTCAGTCAGTTAAGCATCTGCCTTTGGCTCAGGTCATGATGCCAGGGTCCAGGGATCGAGTCCCACGGTGGGCTCGCTGCTCGGTGGGAAGGCTGCTTCTCCCTCTCCCACTCCCCCTGCTCGTGCTCTCTCACTCTCTCTCTCAAATAAGTAAGTAAATAAATAAATCTTTTAAAAAGGAGCTTTATTGACTTTATAGAGCCATTAAGTAAGGACATTTTAAAGGTAGAATTCAGTGGGTCCCACTTGAAGGTCCATTTTATTCCCCTGATCAAAGTCATGAATTCTTGTGGAATAGCAAATATGGAAGTTGGAGTTTAAAGAAAGAGAGGCCATGATTCTGAGTTATTTAGGCAAGTGGCTCAACTCCTTAGAGCTAATATTGGCTAATAATAGTACTGACAGCACGCCAGGCGCATGATGTAAGAGCCTATGAGGGAATTACTATTACTACCATCCCTGCTTTACAGATAAGACATTGGAAGGTCAAATAGTCGGCCAGAGAGCTCATAGCTCTTAAGTGGTTGAGCCAGAATTAGCATCTAGGTCTGTCAGACTTCTAAAAACAGTATTTTTTTAAAAGATTTTATTTATTTATTTGACAGAGAGAGACAGAGCAAGAGAGGGAACACAAGCAGTGGGGTGCGAGAGGGAGAAGCAGGCTTCCCGCTGAGCAGGGAGCCCGATGCGGGGCTCGATTCCAGGTCCCTGGGACCATGACCTGAGCCAAAGGCAGACGCTTACGACTGAGCCACCCAGGCGTCCCTAAAAACAGTATTTTTTATTGAGATCAATATTTTACCTACAAAGAATACTTTAAATGCAAATTTAAAGAATTACAATAAAATGAACACCCATGTACACACCACCCAGCTTAAGAAATAAAACATTACCAAAAAAAGAGAAAGAAAATGTTACCATTTCCTTTTTTATCTACCAGCCTTATTGAATCCTACTTCACATACCATGCAATTCACCCATTTGAAGCATACAGTTGAATTATTTTTAGCATATTCAGAGTTGGGCAACCATCACCACAATCAATTGGAGAACATTTTCATCACTCCCCAAACAAACCCATACTGATTAGCAGGCGCCCTCCATTGCCAGGCCAAGGCAACCACTAAAGTCCTTTACGTCACTCTGGATTGGCTAATTCGGGACATTTCATTTAAGTGGAATCACATAGCATAGGGCTTTTGTGTTTGGCTTTCTTCTCTTGTAATGTTTTCAAGCTGCATCCATGTTGTAGCACTTATTAGTACATTGTTTTTTTACTTTTTACTTTTTAAAAAAGATTTTATTTATCTATATGAGAGAGAGCACACATGCACAAGCAGGGGGAAGGGCAGAGGGATAGGGAGAAGCAGACTCCCCGCTGAGCAGGAGCCCGACGGGGGGCTCCATCCCAGGACCCCGGGATCATGACCTGAGCTGAAGGCAGATGCTTAACCCACTGAGCCACCCAGGCGCCCCAGTACCTCGTTTTTTAAATTGCCACAGAAGATTCCATTATGTAGATACTGCATATTGTTCTTCCATTCACCAATTTGCAGACATATGGATTGTGAATAATCCACTGCTCTGAACATCAGCTACACGTCTTTGGGTGGACGTATGTTTTCACTTCTCTTGGGTAGATTCCTAGGAGTGACATTGCGAGGTCATATGATAACTCTTCTGTTTTCACCTTCAGAGCAGCTGTCAGACTGTTTTCCAGAGTGGCTGCACCCATTTATGTTCCTACCACCAGTGTCAGAGAGTCCCATTTTCTCCACATCCCCACCATTTGTTATTATCAGTCTGTTTGATTACAGCCATTATTATGGGTGTAAAGTGATCTCTCATTGTGATTTGATTTGCATTTCCCTAATGAATAATGATGTTAAGTGTCTTTCATGGGCTTATTGGCCATTTGTATATCTTCATTTGGGGAAACGTCTATTCGGATCCTTCACCTATTTTTTTTTTCCTTCACCTATTTTTAAAATTGGATTATTTGTTTTATTATTGAGAAATTATGTACATACCACAAATTCACCATTTTATTTTTTTTAAGATTTATTTATCTGTTTTAGAGAGTGCATGCATGCACACACGAGCTGGGGAGAGGGGCAGAGGGAGAGGGAGAGAAATCCTCAAACAGACTCCCCGCTGAGTGCAGAGCCCCATGCGGCGCTCAATCCCAGGACCCTGAGAACATGACCTGAGCCAGAATCAAGAGCTGGATGCTTAACCGGCTCAGCTACTCAGGTGTCCCATAAAGTCACCATTTTAAAGTGTATAATTGAGGGGCACCTGGGTGGCTCAGTCGGTTAAGTGTCTGCCTTTGGCTCAGGTCTATGGTCCCAGGGTCCTGGGATCGAGCCCAGCATCGGGCTCTCTGCTCTGCGGGAAGCCTGCTTCTCCCTCTCCCACTCCCCCTGCTGGTGTTCCCTCTCTCTCTGTCTCTCTCTGTCAAATAAATAAATAAAATCTTTAAAATAAATAAATAAATAAAGTGTATAATTGAGTTGTTGTTAATATATTTGCCAGGTTGGGCAACCATCACCACCGTTTAATTTCAAAACATTTTTATCTCCCCCAAAGCAACTATGTAGCCAGTAGCAGTCACTCTCCTTCTGTCCAGTGGCTAATGATGTTGAGCACAGTTGCACGTGCTTGTTGGCTATAATATCGTCTTTGAAAATATGTTTGTTTAAATCCTTTGCCCATTGTTTAGTTGGGCTATTCATCTTTTCATTGTTGAGTTGCAACACTTCTTTATATATTCTTCTTTACATTCCTCTTATCAGATACATGATTTGCAAAATTTTTCTCCCACTTTGTGGGTTGTCTTTTCACTTTCTTGATGGTGTCCTTTGAAGCACAAAAGTTTTAATTTTAAGTTTAATTTTGATGATGTCCAATATATGTTGCTTGTGCTTTTGATGTTATAGCTAAATAAGTATTGCTTAATCCAGGTCATGAGGATTTATGCCTATTTAAGAATTTCATAGTGTTATCTCTTACATTTAGCTCTTTAATCTATTTTTGAGTTACTTTTTGCATACAGTGTGAGGTAGGGGTCCAGCTTCATTCTTTTGCATGTCTATGTCTAATGTCCCAGCACCCTTTGTTGACTTCTATCCTTATAAATTTGTTACATTGTTTTATGTCTCAGAATTGGATCTATCTTGGTGAATGTTCCACGTGAGCTTAAGAAGAATATATATTTTGCTGTGGTTAGATGAAGTATTCTGTAAATGTAAATTAGATTATTAGATTGACAGTGCTGTCCAGTTCAGCTATATCTATACTAATTTTCTATCTGCTGGATCTGTTGAGTATTGACAGAGGGATGTTGAGGTTTCTAACCACAATAGTGGATTTATCTATTTCTCCTTTCAGTTCTATCAATGTTTGCCTTATGTATTTTGATGTTCCGTCGTTAGGTGTATTCACGTTAAGGATAGTTTTGTCTTGTTGGAGAATTGGCCCTTTACCTTTATGTAATGCTCCCTCTTTATCCCTGATAGTTTTCCTTGTTCTGATGTCAGCTTTTTCTGAAATTAATGTAGCTAATCCAGCTATTTTTTTATATATCTTTTGCATCCTTTTCCTTTTATTCTATGTCTTATAGACAATATACAGTTGAGTCTTGTTTTTTAATCCACTCTGATGATCTCTGTCTTTTAATTGGCATATTGAGACCATTTACATTTAAAGTGAATAAGTGATTATTGATATAGTTGGATTCATGTTTACCATGTTTATAACTGTTTTCTATTCATTGTACTTGTTCTTTGTTTCTTTACTACCCCCCTTTCACTGACGTCTCTGGTTTTAGTTAAACATTTTATATGATTTCATTTTATCTTCTCT